GCTCCAGAGCTGGGCATTGAGGTGAGTGTAGGGGTGGGGGAGTTGCTGTCCACAGTAGGAACATTTCCTTCTCTGTTCTCAGAACGGAGAGCTGATAAAAAGGGAGGGGATTTCCCAGGCCTACTGCAGGTGAGACCATCCCCACCTCCCATTCACCCTCAAGAGACAGTTCTCTTCCCCTTCTGTAATAGCCTCAAGCATTTACCAAGCCAAGCCATCTCACTAGGGACCTTTGTTCCAAAGACAGGGGCCAGAGGAAGGGACGGGCAGGACTTACAACTATCAAAAATGTGAAATGAATCAAATCAGAGGACTTTGTCCAATCACCCGAGGTCCCTGAGGAGGGCTCTGTTTTCATTTTACCCCAGTTGGCTTCCGTCTCCATCAAAATTCTTAACAGTCTAAAGACGTGTTCTCTGTCTGAGTTTCTGTCTGCTATTCTGTGGCTGGAAAAATGGAAAAACACCAGGATATTTCAAAGAGATCAGAAAACAGCCAGAACTATTCAAGACTGCACGTACCCATCAGACCCAGCCAGTCACAGAGTCTTAGAAACCAACAGGGAGCCAGCAGAGAAGCCCTGGCCAAATCCACAGCATCCTGCTTAAGCCTCTACCATCCATCACGGTTATTTGCCAGTGACTAAGAGCCTGCTGTGTGCTGGGCCAACAAAGGAGACTCTCCATGGTGGTGGGCTGGTGGGGTGGGGGGACAGTTAGTGATAGAGCTGCAAGGGCACCAGAGTGGTGTGAATCCCCTACCAAGCTATGTGATCGGGAACAAGTCAATCTCCAAAAATGCATACAGCAGGCAGAACAGCGGCCCCTCAAAGATGTCCATGGTCCTGGTCTCTGGAACTGTGACTATGAAAAAGGAAGCATGACTCAGAGGGCAGAGTCATGATAACAGAGGTGAAGACTCTGCAGATGTGATTTAAAGACTTTGAGATCAGATTATCTTGGACCACCAAGTGGATCCAGTCTAATCACATGAGTCCTTAAAAGTGAAGAGGAAGGCAGGAGGGTCAGAGAAATATGGCATGAGAAGCACCTGACTCGACCATTGCTTGCTTTGAAGACGGAGGAAGCCGGCTACGAGCCAAGGAGTGCACAGGCCTGCAGAAGCAGGGAATGGCCCCCAGCTGACAGCCAGAGAGGAAACAGTGACCTTGGTCCTACAGCCACAGGAACTGAATTCTGCCAACAACTCAAATTAGCAGGGAACAAATCCTCCCCTAAAGACTCCAGAAAGAAACTCAGCCTACTGATGCCTTTTCTTCTAGAAGGACCCATACCAGACTTCTGACCTGTAGAACTGTAATACAATAAATCTGATTTTTTTTGAAGCCGCTAAATTGGTGGTAATTTGTTACAGCATTAGAAAATGACCACACTGTGTGATCCTGAGTAAGTCCCTCCTTCAAATTGGGCCTCCTTCTCCTGTCAGTCAATTGCAAAGGGTGGTCAAGGTGATCTCCAAGTCTCACTCGGCTCCCCTGACATCCTACCTCCCCTTGAGCCCTGCCCCAGGTCCAGGATGGTCTTGGGTAGAAGGCCATTAAAGAAAAAAATAGAAAGGAGCAAGGGGTGGAGAAGATGAATCTTTAAAAAGCCCCTAGGTGTTTCCTAAAATGCCACCCAGGATGCTAAAAAAAAAAAAAAAAAAAAAAAAAAAAAAGTCTTCCATTTTGCCATTTGTTACTTCCTAGACCATCCCCCAGAGGAATGAAGTGGAAAATCTGGGAGAGCAAGAAACAAAGCTTCACGATCAATTGGTAGAAGCTGTCCAGAGCACTGAGTTAAGGATTCCCTAGCCTTGCAAAGATTGCAAGGTGCAAAGTCCTGATTATCAATGTCTGCCTGGGGCAGGGGATTAGGACTGGTGACAGGTATGCCACAAATAGGTCACCAGTACTTGAAACTGATTTGGGGAGTTCAGTTTTCTCTGTTTTCCTTCTTCCTCCTCCATTTCATTCTCTTTGGTCCTATGTAGTTGGTCACCAGCAATTCGCATGTCCAATCAGCCAATCACAGTCCAAATCAATAAAATAAGGAAACTAGAGCTATGCACCATGAAGCACTGTAAAGTACACAGTATAGTTGTTGAATCTGGTTTGCTGTTGTCCACCATGCTAGCCAGGGATAGTTCTGGCCTGTTCCCCTTCCTGGCTACCTCTGAGCTTTTCTCTTGGATGTACACCATTCTGTTTCCCTAGTGAGGCAGAAAGATACTAGGGTCCCTAGTGATTTACTAGTCCAGTGGCTGTCAAGTTCTTACTTACCGTCCCCTAGGTCACCCTGTGAGTAACTGACAGAAACAAGATCTAATAACCCAGATCCCCATAATTCCAGTGTGGTTCAGAGCGCAGGCCCTGAAACCAAACCGCCTGGGTGCAAACTGCAGCTTCCTGTGATCACGGGTGAGTTCCCCACTCTCTTTGGACCTCGGTCTCCTCAACTATAAAATGGACAGAATGGTGGTCCCTACCTCATAGGACTGTGGTAAAGACTAAATGAATTAACACATGTAAAATGATTAGAATAATGCCTGGCTCGTGGTCAGCACTCAGTAAATGTCAAGTATGGTTTGGTTTTTTTGTTTTGTTTTTTTTTGGTAGGCTCAACATGGGGCTTGAACTCATGACCCTGAGATCAAGACCTGAGCTGAGATCAAGAGTCGGAGGCTGAGCCGACTGAGCCACCCAGGTGCCCCTCAAGTATGATCATTATTACATCATTTGGCTTGTCTGGCCCATCGGGGCAGGTGTCTGCAGGCCGTGGTAATACCAGCATTTACTCCCATAAACTGTGAGTGTGCGTACACATGTCTATCTTTGATTCCACTGCCAACAGCGGCAGTGTGAGACCAATCAAGATAAAGATTCTCTTTCCTTGGAGACATTTCCTTTATTTGTAGATTTTAAACCACAGTGAAGAAACAGAAGCACATTTTTTTTTTTAAACAAGGATCAGCATACAGCTGGGGAAGCACCTGAAACTGAGACTGCCACTTACCCCGTTGGCCTGTCACACCTGCGCCCCGTATGTGACCCAACCACATGAGGCCCCCAAGCTCTCTAATTTGGTGTATGTCTCAAACACCTCACCCCAGCTCTGTGATTCTTAGGCTATGCTAGAGACCGGGAATCCCCAGACCTTTCATGCAGGGGAGCCCATGGTTCTGACGCCCTGAGAGGTAACTGTTTAGAACATTTGATGGAGCATGACTTGTGACCTCCATGGTATGACTCATAACCCCAGGACGGCTGGAAATGGGAGGTCCCTGGTGCAGTGGAGAAGTGCTTCTCCTCAGCTTTTTTGGTCCTTGCTGCAGAAGTACAGATGTCCTGAGGCTCAGCTGGGCTATCTTCCCTGCGCTCACAGGACTGCTGGCTGCCCTACAGAACCCAAAGGGCACATCCCGCTCAGCCGGAGGTGCCCGTCTGTTCCATCCCCACTTCATTTTACAGATGTGGAGAGCGAGGTCAAGATGGGGAAAATGCCTCATCAAGGTAACTCCGAGTGTCTCCTGACTTCCAGAGAATTGTCCTTCCCACCCCCACCCTTATCCCCAACCCCCATTCAGGCATTTGCAAGCCTTCCCATTTCCCCACAGCCGTGGTACCACAGGTCCTCAAGGAATCTTTGAGACTTCAACGTCTGAGCAGCTTTCACTACCACCGCCGAGAGCTTTGAGCAATCTATAGAGAAGCGGGAGACTCCTGAGCGCACCCCGCCCCCCCACCCCGTGCCAACAGGATCAAGGCCAGTCAGGAAGAAAGGGCGGAGCTGTAGGAACAAGAGTCCAACTTGGCCACTCAAATAGCAACCTCCCACAGGTGTGCAGGTTTTTACGGCTTACACCGCCCCTTCTTCCACGCGTGAACAGTACTGCGCACCTATTTGCCGGGCTCTGGGCCAAGGGCTGAGGAGGCCTCGGAGATGAGGCTTGGAGAGACAGTCTTTATCCTCACGGAAGTTGTGGAGGGGTGGGGAGAGCAGGGGTGCAACGACTGGAACAACCAAGTCCAAAGTAAAGAGGTGGGTTGGGGCGGAGAAGGAGGAGGGAGGAGGAGGAGGCGGAGGGGGAGGAGGGGGGAGGAGGGGAGCACTTGGAAGGAAGGCTTCTCTCCATGATACTCTGCACACCCGCTCTCTCACACGCCAAGGATATTTTCTCCCTTTCACAGATGGAGAAACAGGGCCGGGAGACAGGATGGGGAAACTGCTGGTGCCGGACCAAGGGAACCCACACCCCACTTCAAACTCTTGGCGCCTCCCATGCGGGGCTTTGGGAGAAGCCGCCGGCCGCGGGGCTGGGCTCACCCACCCGAGCTGCGGCTCCCACGAGGCCCCAGATCGGCCGAGGAGGTGGCTGCAACTTCGGGGCTGAGAGAAGCAGAAAAGGGGAACGCAGAAGTGATGACGGGGGAGGAAAGAGGCAGAAGAGGGGGAAGGAGAGGAGGACAGTTGGGAGGACGCTGGGCTAGGGACCACAGGAGAACGGAGCCCCACGCGCGACACCCGATGGCCCCACTCACCCGGGGATCCGCAGAGCGGCTTCGCAGGAAAGCCCGCGGCCCCCGCCGCAGCCGGATCGCGCCGGGTCTGCGGGAGGCTCGGGCCAAGGGACGGCTCGAGCGCTTTCCCCGGCTCGCGGGGGGCGGCCCAGCCCCGGGGTCGCGGCGCGGCACGTGCCGGGACCTCGGAGCCCACGGCGGCGGGAGCGCGCGGGAGCGGCCGGGACGCGCGGCTTGGCCCCCGGGCTGCGCTCGGCGGCGCTGGAATGCGCGGCCGCCAGGGACCGCCCCCGGAAAACCCGGGCCCCCGGCCTCCGCCGCCGCCCCGCCCCCGGCTCCGCCACCCCCGCGGCCGCCCCAGCCCCGGGGAGAAGCCGGGGGGAGAAACCTGGGGGACCCGGCTTCCCCGCGGGCCCCCCGCGCCGCGCTCGCGTGCAGGGCGGCGCGATCGCTTCGGCCGTCGGATCCCCGCTCTCCTTACCGTGAACCGGGAGGCTCGAAAACGCGTCCTCCAAATTCCTTTCCGGCCAAAGTCTGGCGGATGGGTTTGGGCGGAGGGGCCGAGACTCTCAGCTCCTGCTTGGCAGTGCACTGAGTGTAGGATCCTTGACAAGCGGCTTCGCGAAAGTGAGGCTAGTAACACCTGTGTCCCAGCCCTGCTGTGAGGACGGACTTAGACGCCAGTGTGAAGCTGGTTGGTTGTCTGCCGTGACACGCCTCTGAGCATCCTGTTCATTCTTGTGACAACAGTGAAATGGCCCGATCCAGGGTGCTCATGAGCCCAGGAGAGCTGGCTTCTGAGAGGACTCCACGCCCTGCCAGTTCCCGGCCCAGCTTCCACGCAGGACAACGCAGCTGTGCGATCCCCTGCCGCCTCTGGGATGCACCAGGGACAGGGACCCACAGTTTTTAATTCAGCTGTCGAGCGCTCTTCAGTCTTGCTCTAAAAAACAGGAGCTCGGGCCTTGACCATCAGTGTGACCTTGAGGAGTCTTGGAGCCCAGTTGTGTGTCAGTTTCTTCCTTTGCCCAGTAGATTTAGTAAGAACTATACTGCCTTCCCAGGCCTAAATCCGATATGGTGTGGGGGCTGAACTTACCCCCTACTGTCTTCTCTGAGTCGGGGATGAGGTCAGCAGAGATGACGTCTAAATCATCACTACCAGATGCCAGGGTTTTTTAGAGGGGAAACAATGAGGATGAAGGGAATTGATATGAGAAATGATTTGACAAAAATTCTAGGAAATGTCACCCAACAACATGTTTTAATCAAAAGAGACGTGTGGAATCTTAAAAACAAACAAGTACCACACAATTCTGAATAGTTTAATAGAAAACTCTCAGAAAAAAAAAACAAAAACAAAAAAGCTAAAGGAGGACAATTTGTATTAAAGTGTTCTCTGGTTAGTGGAAGGAGTAGGGTAGTACTCTGGATGGACACCTGGTAACTCCCTGTGCCCAGTGTGAATGCTGGCTTCCATCTGGGAGAACGCAGAACCCCAGGGCTGCAGCCAGCACTAGCAAAATTCAGTCTGCCTTAATCAGTTCACAGTCTATCAGTGTCTCTTTAATAATGATTTGCCCTGGCACCCAAAAAGCGAGCCAAAAGAGAAAATTGAACAATAACCTAGGAAACGTACTACATTAGCTCTGTCTCAGCTGGGTTGATTTTGCTGAGAGGGCTTTGGAAGAGAGGAATAATGGATGCTGTGTTGGGGTAGGAGGAGGGGAAAAAAAATAGCCAATTTCAGTACCAAGCTTTGTTACAGCAAAACCCAGGGAACAACTTAGATTTCACTTCCTTGGTCCTCAATTACAAGTACTCCAAAGGGAAGACCATTAAGAGTTCAAAATAATAATAATAATACGGGAGATCCCCCTGACAGTGGGGGGGAATTTGAATCAAAGAAGTTGTAGCCTGGGGCGCCTGGGTGGCTCAGTCGTTAACCGTCTGCCTTCGGCTCAGGTCATGATCCCGGGGTCCTGGGATCGAGCCCCACATCGGGCTCCCTGCTCGGCGGGAAGCCTGCTTCTCTCTCTCCCGCTCCCCCTGCTTGTGTTCCCTCTCTCGCTCTCTCTCTGTCAAATAAACAAAACAAAACAAAAAAAGCTGTAGCCTAACAGCATTCTACCAAAATACTGCCTACAGGGGGCCCCCACTAGAACACAATTCATCTCAGAAACCCTCGCACTGAATCACACCTATGCAAGAATTTTCTTCTTTCATATATTTTTCACTTGCACAAGTACATTTATTTAGTTTGGGAAAATAATGTGGTATATTGGATTGGTAGTCAGGAAGCCAAAATTTTAAGTCTATCTAAGTAGCTAAATGATCATTAATGCCTCAGTTCCTCACTTGCAAAATAGTAAAATGAAACCTATTCCTTCTGTCTGATACAATTTTTTTTGTCTGATACAATTATTGTGTGTAAAGATTTCATTCGTGTATTTCTTTATTCAGAATTATTCACTGAAAGTCTCATACATGTTCTAGGTACCAAGGAAGACAAATTCTCTTTATTGTTTGACATCTAGTGGGGGAAATGTTCACCATAGATACGCAAACGAAAAAGCAAAGTGATATCAATTCGTGAAACCGCGAAGAATATAAAGTGAGATGATGTAATAGAGTGATGGAGCACATTTTATGTTTGATCATGGAGATAGTAGTTAGTTTGAATTTCCTGAAATTTTTGTATTATCAATGATTATATTACTCTTTAATATATCAACTTAAATGTAATTTCCAAGGTCTTTCATTACACTCTAAGAATTTAGACTGATATTAAATTATTGCGTGGATAATTTGTATGGAAGGTAGAACACAAAAACATTGATCACCAAGCATGGTATGCATGCACACACACACGCACACGCACTCCTTTGCCTCCTACTTTTATATGTTTGAGAGTGGATAAACCCTTGGGGTATATTAACGTATACGTTCGATTTTGCCAGTTTAAGAAATGCAAATGGGATGTGTGTGGCCATAACAGGTTTTACAGTGTTTGCTTTGCTGGTCTGCTAAATGTTTTCATCCTTCAACCATGCTCAGTTACTTGCCTACAGTTACATACTTGAGGACATAGAAGATAGTTACATTGCTTAAAAGATGTAATTTATGTGCTAAGAGAGTAGATCTTAATGTTCTCCCCACAAAAAAAGAAGAGGTAGCCATGGGATGGGATGGAGGTGGTAGCTAATACCATGGCAGTAATCATTTTGCTATTTATAAAGGTATCATATTAACATGTTGTACACCTTAGACTCGTACAATGTTAAGCATCAAAATATGTCGATAAAGCAGGAAGAAAGAGAAATGGGCAGGATCCCATTTTATTCAATATGATGAAGACTAAAAAAATCTTTTTTAAAATACACAAAATAAGATATGAACAAATGTATGAACATACCATTCTTCAAAAAGAAAAATCTAGTCTAACAATGCCAGTTCTCTTCAAATAAATGTATAAATCTAAAAAACATTGTAACTTATATGGGCCATTGAGACTATCTTAAGAATTGAAGTAGTAAAGAAATATAAATATAGAATAAGATTATGAGTGCAAATTTGTTATCAAGGGAAAAAGAGCCATTTCATCTTGAAGTAAAAAACTGTGCTGGGGGTGGGTGGCTCAGTCGTTAAGCGTCTGCCTTCGGCTCAGGTCATGATCCCAGGGTCCTGGGATCGAGTCCCGCGTCGGGCTCCCCGCTCCGCGGGAAGCCTGCTTCTCCCTCTCCCCCTCCCCCTGCTTGTGTTCCTGCTCTCCGCTGTCTCTCTCTGTCAAATAAATAAATAAAAACTAAAAAAAAAAAAACTGTGCCAGAATGTGAAAGATTAGCAAGAGACAAATTCGAATGGGTAGGTTGTAGAAGTTTGATGACAAGAAAACTTTGTTTCGTTGGTTTGTAATGCCGGCAAATAATGAATCTAGAAGAAGACAGTGAAATATGTTAAATTTTTGACAAAATTGGCTGTTTTTTTTAAAGATGTTATTTGACTACCCTGTGTTCCCCAGAAATGGACCTTGAGAGCTTGTGTGGAGGTTCGAGCAGGGGGTGAAGCTTCTCATATATCCTTGATCCAAGAATGGTCTTTGCTATGGCGAAGGTCTTCCTCTTCCACTGCGCGTAGCTTTGGGAGGAAGGCTCTAGGAGTGGTGTGGGAGGAAAGGGACACCCACATAGCCAGCCAGATCAGCCGAATCAACCCTGGCGATCAATGGGGTGATATGTTGCAGCCAGACTGCACTCATATCCTCAGTTTCTTCTTAACAAGAGCTAGTGAGGGGCGCCTGGGTGGCTCGGTCGGTTAAACGTCTGCCTTCAGCTCAGGTCATGACCCCGACATCCTGGGCTCAAGCCCCACATCTGTCTGGCTCCCTGCTCAGCGTGGAGTTGCTTCTCCCTCTGCCCCTCCCCCTGCTCGTGCTTGCACTCTCTCTCTCTCTCTCAAATAAATAAAAAATCTTAAGAAAATAAGAGATAGTGAAAGTTATTTTTAATTTCTATATAATCTGCCCGAATAGCAGATATTATATATCTGATCAGCATAACTTTTCTGTGTTTTGTGCTTTGTCATGCCCTTGATTACTTAAAAACAAAACAACAGAAGTTCCTCATTTCTTAAATAGCTAAAGTTCCTTATAATGATGCCTATGGTTATGTCTATTTAGTACTAGTATATTGTCAATCTGATTAATAGGCAGCCAAGCTACAACCATTCATCGTTCCCAGGCATCTCTGCTTCTGTCTTAAGCTAAGGACGATTCTTCTTTGAAAATTCTTTTTAACGTTACCTTCCCAGGATCAGTTCAATAGTTTATAAAAATGTAATGGGTTTTTACTTATCAAAGCATCTTTGGTGCTTCCTAGATAGCTAAAATACCAAAAGCCTGGTCTCTCACCTTGTAACCCATGATGTGTCATTCACAATCAGGAGGGATAGTAGGTAGAATTAGTTAGGTATGTTTGAAATGCTCCCTATGTCTTAATTGGCTCACTACTGCTATAGGATTCACATTATATACCAAATCCACAAAATGGGATAAGCTGTCCAATCAAAAAAGTACATTCTAACTTCCCCATGTTTATTTTTAAAAGTAGATTTGTCTGGGGGGTGCCTGGGTGGCTCAGTCAGTTGAGTGTCTAATTCTTGATTTCAGCTCAGGTCGTGATCTCAGGGTTGTGAGATTGAGCCCCTTGTTGGGCTCCACGCTGGGCATGCAGCCTGCTTAGGATTCTCTCTCTCCTTCTCTCCGCCCCTCCGCATCTCTGAAAAATAAAATAAAATAAAAGTAGATTTGTCTATGTACCCATGTCCACAGTACATTCTTGAGGAAACACTGACAAAAACCATAACCCAGTAGGATTTTACTCTCCTCTATTCTGATATGGTTGTCTAGCCTAATAAGTTAACAGAGGCTTCAGTCTAGTCAACATGTAGTTTTTGCTTTCTTTACATGTTTACCTGAAGTCCTCTGCTACATACTGAAGCATCCTCAACAAAGGACAGGCCCAGAAACTTGGTGAGAAAGATCGTACCAGGCACTCTTAACTGGAATAGATTTACAGGGTCAGGCTTCTCACGATGTAATTGGACAAATCTATTACCAAACAAAGCCATCTAAGGAGTTTTATATTTGAGAAAAAATTTCATTTAATTGGCTATGATCATGTAGCCATTATAGAACAAGAGTTGTACTTCCTGTGTGTACAGTGACCTCCCAGGAGACTGGTCTGGTGAGCCTATTTCATGGCTCACAGGGTCCCAACATTATGCTGGTAAGATAGTGAGAAAGTTCACTTGCTGG